GAACTGGTCTCTGAGAGCCCTAACCAAGACTGGGAATATATAAGCATCAAAATACAAGATGATATTAATGGATTATAATCTACCAAATAAAATAGAATTTCATGAGCCCATTCTGACGTAAATAAATAAACAAGGGACAGCTTTTCCTTCCAGTAAATGGCCATAATAAATGGAGAAGGAGTGATGGAGTCATAAAATCCTTCGGCAGCCACCGCTGTTATTAATGGATTCCAGCAAAAATCATCAATAAAGGTTAAATCGGAGGGCAAAGGTTGGATAAAGAACAAGATATTCACATAATCCCGAAAGGATTTCCCCACAAATTATTTACTAATCTCAAAGAGGGCAAGAGAGCTGATGACAAAGGATCCTACCTTACCCAGGGGTCAAGGTCAGCATCACTAACCCTAGAATGGACTTGTGTCACACACTGCCATGAGGAGGCCCCACATCACATCCTAAACATGCTCAGCCTAATCCTAAACTCAAGGAAGCATCAGACAGCTCCTAATTGAGAAGGATTCTGCACGTTCCAAATTGTGAACGGCATGAGGGCCCTGTCCCAGTTACAGGCCACTGCAAAGATGGATGACCAAGCACAGTGTGATCCTGAACAGACTGGCTGGACAACTACAGAGGACAGCTGAGATAGCTGGAAAAATCTGAGCATGGACCATGTCTCACATAGTATTGTGTCAATGTGAAATGTTCTGGTTTGGTGACTTTACTGTGATCCTCTAACACATTGCCCTTGTTCTTAGGAAAAATACATAGAAATATTTAGGGGCAAAGAGACATGCTGTCTGCAACTTGCTCTCTAATGTTCAGGGGAAGTGTGTGTCTGTGTGTGTGTGTGTGGTGTGTGTGTGTATGTGTGTGTGTAAAGAGAAGAAGATGGAGAAATATCAAAAAAAGAGGAGAGGGAAAGGAAGAAAGAGTAAATGAGAGAAAGAGATAAGAGGCAGAGCCCCTGAGCAAGTGGCAAAGCAAAAGCAATAAAAATGTACCCACTGGCACGTCTTGATCAAGGGCACGTGAGAGTTCTCTGCCCTTCTCATAATGTTTGTAAAAGTCTGAAGTTATTTCAAAATAAAAACAACTTGTGAGTGTATGCTTGTTTTGGGTATCACAGGAAGAGTGGAAAGAGGGTGTGACTGATGCACCTACTGCCCTACACTTCTATAAAGTGTCTGCCTTGCCATGCCCCGTCCCGGCCTATCCCCATCTGGATACTGGAGCCAGATAAACTGGGCTTCAGGCTGTGGAGGGATGGAGGGGGCTCACCTAAGACAAGGCCTGTTTCAGGAGTAAGGTCTGGCTGCAGAAGGTGTCAACATGGCTGCTTCCCTCCTGCCCCAGGAGTGGAGGTCCTCTTACTCTTACTGTGTGGGTAACATCAAATAACAGCTTGCCATTAGGAGGCTTTCTCTGTTGGACTCTGAGCTAGATCACCAGGAGACAGCAGTCCAGTCATGAGCTCAACATACACTCCTAGAAGAGGAGGGCGGGAAGTCTTGCTTACTCACAGGAAGCACCCACCCTGTGCCACATCCTGCCCACTGCTGAGGAGACCATATCTCTTTTGAAAGCAGTTGCTCTCACATCTCCTGGAGCAGTTGCTCTCCATAGCTTCTCTCCCTGCAGGACTCCCAGATCAACCTAAGGGCCTTCCCTCCGTTCAGTCTTGAGGCCATGAAAAGTGGAACTTGTCTTCTGCGCCTCAGAAGTGAAGGGTAGGAGCATGAGTGTGGGTGGAAAGCTGGTGGGTCCTTGCTCTCACCTTCATGTGGGCATGGGGACAAGAATGATCAGGCCAAGGAAGGCTGGGCCAGTGAAGGAGAAGTGATAGGCCCCCTCACTTGAGGCCTCTTTCCTCACTACCTTTCCCTGTGCTCAGCTCCCCTCTGGCTTCCCCAGCTACCCTGACCAGAGGCTTTCCCTCCTCATTCCCATCCACCCCACCAGACAGATCAGCTCATTCCTCTCCATGTTGCCTGTGAGGGTGTAGGGGTCCCTGGTGGCCCCACGGGGTGGACACCTTCAGGAAGATGTACAGCATGAAGCCAGCTGGAGGGTGAGACGGGGCCCAAACATGGTCAAAGTCCTCCAAAGTGAACAGGTACTCCCTCTCAGTTGGCCTTACATTCTCTGAGCCTAGGATGGGCTGCCTGTTGGACAGGCACTCTCTACTCTAGGAATTCCCATGACAAAGGTGGAGGATGGTAACTAGGGACTGCAAAGAGTCCCCCCTGGGAAGAAGTTCTCCTGAAGGGATGAAGAGGCACCTTCTGTGGCCTTGGACCACCAGTTTCTCCATTAGTAAGGAGCTCCTGATGGAGGGGGTTATTAACACAGGGGGTTATTCAGTGGGCAGTCTGAGGCTGTGAGTAGAGCAGCAGCAAAGCCCACACACAAAACAGTAACTAATTTAATGATTTCACATTGTGTACTTCAATTAAAAAAAAAAGCAAATACAAGAAGTGAACAAGAGGCAAATCAGCAATTTGTTTGGGGACTCCTCACACTTCAGTTTAGTATGATTTACATTTTGAATTTGCTTATAGGAAAGGGGCATAATATTATGTTCAGGGTTTGGCAGCACCAAAGGTCCTTAGGGCCCTGCCTGAAAATCCCCATCTACCTCACCTCCAGGAGGCCCCCCACGGGAACCTCTCCTATGGCAGAATGTGGGCCCCACTTTGCCTGCCTTGCCACCCACAGTTGTGGGTAAATCATCTGCTCTGCCCAGTCTGGGTTTCACCATTCAAAAACGAGGGATTAATACCTCACTTACCCTCACTTACGGAGCTGCAATGAATGATAAAAGAATCTCTGCTCACCCTGTGGTTCTTTCAATTTCCTGACTTACAAAAGAAAAGACTGAAAAATCTGGCTGACTTCCAATCTTTTTTGAATGTAAAGTCTAAGAATCGCTGTTTGAGGAGAAATACAAGCAAGTCTTGTGTCGTTTTGGTTTGGCAACAAGGGCCAGGTCTGGAGTCAGAGGCATCAGACTTTGTTCTCTCCCTCCATCACTTGCAAACCAGCTTTTTCATCTACAAAAGAGGCAAAACTGTCCCTCCAAGAGTTGTTGTGAGGATCAATGATCAAAATTACTGCACTCATCTCTGTGGGAAGGGCATGGGCTGCACCCACTACTGCTATCCACAGTCACCCACAGTCAGGAGAAAACATCCAGGGAGGATGGCAGGTTCTGGAAGCTCTTCCAAACCACTATCCCTGGGCCCAGCAGGAATTCTTGGAGCCCTCTATTCTCTCCATGCAAGGAATTCAAAGTAAAAAAACTATACTGCACAGTGAAAGAATCCAGAGATTCAGAGTTTTCTTTCACAACACCTTATTGCTTATTTAGAACATTAAAATCACTCTAACTCTGTTTCTCATGTAGGAGCTTAATTGACTGACAGGAAAGAGGGGTTCTAGGTCTCCCTTCCAGGCAGCTTGGATTCAGACTTAATGGCTGGGGGCTGTTGGTGCCTTTAGCAGGTGACTTCATTCAGGAAAGCTTCCTGGCTCATTAGAGCCTTCTTTCCTATCACTTGCTGATTACTCTGGGGGCAACCATTAGCCCCATGCCCAACTGCTCAGCCCTACCCAACACAGCCACTTCCCAATGGGATGAACAAATATCTTGGCATGTGTGGGGATGTCTGGAAACTATCTCCTGACTTGAGACAGGTTTCTCCTTGCACCAGTGGTGGGTGAACCAGCTCCCAGCTCCCTGTACTTGTTAATTCCTGGCAGCTCTGTGCCATCTGCATTACTTGGGGCTGGCAGTCACTGTGAGGTCTCTGCTGGTGGGGAAACTTAGTGACTCTGGAACAAGACACAATTTGACCCCAAATCATTTGAGAGGTAGTTGCTGGTCTGATGGATTACCTTTAACCCTCAATACTTTAGGGTACACTTCCTAGGAACAAGGATGCAGTCCAGTTGCTAAATTCAGAAAGTTCACAGTAACTTAACAGAATAAAATATGAGGTGTAGTATAGTTTACAAGAATTTATCATATATTTTAAAATAAAGATTTTAAATTTTCCAACCAAAGAAATGATAAATGGTTCCAGCGATGGAAATGCTAACTATCCTGATTTGATTTTGCACATTGTATGCACACATGGAAATATCACCGTGTCCCATAAATATGTACATTATGTGTCAATTGAAAATAAAAAAATACACAGTTCACATTCAAATGTTAAGTTTTTCTATAATGAGAGTTGTCTGCCAATGCCTTTAATCCTTGCATCTTTTGTTTCCCCTTATCTAGAATAGCCTTTTGGAATTTTTTATGACATTGACATTTCTAAAGAATGTAGCTCAGATTTTTTTTAATAAAAGGGCTTTTTAAAAACAGAAAAAATATCATATTGTATGCAGTTTCACAAAAAGCTTTTCACATGCACGTGCTTGTGCACACACACACACACACACAATTTGTGAGTTTTTCTGCATCAGTAAATAAGGTCTTTCATGCTCTTTTTAAACTTCATCTCAGTATATAAATAAATACAGCACTCAGTGTTGTACCACACCACCTGCACCCCTAAACACAGCAGGCCACTGCAATTTGAAAGTAAACACTTGTCATGAGGGCCTGGGTTCAATTCCTGACATCTCAGAAAGAGGGAAAGGGGAGGAAAGAAGGAAGGAAGGGAGGGGGAGGAGGGAGAAAAGGGTAGGGAAGGGAAGAAGGGAGGGATCTCCTGTAATCTTCTTTGTCAATAATTGACAAGAATAGAAACCTAGACTTGCGATTTAAGTAAACATAGCAAGCTAACCATTCCAAGTGCAGCGTCAGCTTACAGGTCCTTTAACGGAAAGTCCCCCTTTACCACATGGGACATCCTTCATTTTTCATTGTTTTTCCCCTAGAACGGTTAGCACACGCGGGTCCCTTGTGGCCATTATAGATCATCTGGCTCCGATGGCTGCCAGGAGTGTTCATTAGTTCGTGCTGCTGCCCAGGTGAGCGGTCCGGTCCTCATTAAACCTTTTCTCCAGGAAGTGCTCGCGGCAGCTCCGCGCAGCGACCCGAAGGGGGAGCCGGTGGGCGGTTGGGCAGCACACCCCGGGGACACGAGGGCGGGAATGTGTCTGTGTTGCCCAGCCTCACAAAAGGGACTCCTCTGTTGCGAGCCGGTCCTGGGCTGCAGCCTTTGAATACAAGGAACGGTCGGAGACGCCTTCCGGGGGAGTCTTATTTCACAAAGAAGGAGAACCACAGGGACTTGCAGGGAGTCTGAAGGGGCCTGAGTTTAGGGGACAGGATAAGATGACGCGTGCCCAACCTGTCATCGACACCAAGGAGGCCGCGTGGCAGAAGGTCCTCTAGAGCGGCAGCCCTTCCCCGGTAACTACGTGGACCCACGGTTCCTGGAAGAGCTCCGGAAGAACATCTGTGCCTGGAAATACCAATCCTGGGCAGTGGTGTTCGAGTCCAGTGTGGGGATCCAACAGCTGTGCAGCGTCTGCGTCTTTGGGGTCATCTGGTGGTATATGGATGAGGGTCTTCTGGCCCCCCACTGGCTTTTTGGAACTGGCCTGGCATCTTCATTGATGGGATGTGTTTTGTTTGATCTCATTGATGGTGGTGAAGGGCGGAAGAAGAGCCGGCGGACCCAGTGGGCTGACCTGAAGAGCACCCTGGTCTTCACTGCTCTCACCTACGGGTTTTCACCAGTGCTGAAGACAGAGTCCGTCAGCACTGACACCATCTATGCCATGTCAGTCTTCATGCTGTTGGGCCACCTCATCTTCTTTGACTATGGGGCCAATGCTGCCATTGTATCCAGCACACTGTCCTTGAACATGGCCACCTTCGCTTCTGTCTGCCTGGCCTCACATCTTCCTCGGTCCCTGCATGCCTTCATCATGGTGTCGTTTGCCACCCAGATTTTTGCACTGTGGCCCATGTTACAGAAGAAACTGAAGGCCTGTACTCCCCGCAGCTATGTGGGGGTCACGCTGCTTTTTGCCTTCTCAGCCTTGGGAGGCCTGCTGTCCATTAGTGCCGTGGGAGCCATACTCTTGGCTCTTCTGCTGGTTTCCATCTCCTGTCTCTGCCCTTTCTACCTCATTCGCCTGCAGCTTTTTAAAGAGAACATTCATGGGCCTTGGGATGAAGCTGAAATCAAAGAAGACTTGTCCAGGTTTCTCAGCTAAGTTAGGGACCCCATTACACTATTCAGGCAAGCTCATAGACTGGTATGCTAACCAGCATAAAATCTGAAGGCAGAGCCCATTCTGGGAGCAGCAGGCTGATGTGGATGAGAGAACAGAGATCAGAAGAAAAAATTAATCAAAGGCTGGGGTGGTGAAGGTGTTTGCCCTTCTGTCATTTTCATTTTATGATGTAAAAGCTTTCTGGTGTCCTCTTGAATTACTGCCCATCTGTTATTCACTATAACAGATGAAGTGATGGTATCTATTAAAGTAATTGTCTCTATTAGCAACACACAAAAAAATTTCTCATCATTTCCTACATGATTTTCTGTGTCTTGGATGTGCATCCTGTGTTGTAGATGTGGCAGATCTGTTCTCCCAGCCTGTCTTTTATCTTTGCTTAGAGTGTCTATTGTGGCTCAGAAATTTTAAACACCTGTCAGAATCAAGTACATCCATCATTTTTCTTCTGTTTTGTCTTTTGTGTGCTTTACTTTTGAATACCTTTTCTATAGTAAATTTATACACAGATTAATCATTTCTTATAATGCCTTTATAGGCTTTTATTTTTACATTTAAATCTTTAATTTGAAAATTTTTTCATGATCATCTACAACTATGTGCAATGCTTTAGATATATATATTTAGGTCCTAGTAGTGTTTATTTAAAAAAAGCAGCTTTGTCTTTCTGGACCCATTGATTGAATGCATGGGCTGCTACTACATTTCCTTTTGGTTCATTGATGCATGGTATTCCTTGGTATCCATGAGGGATTAGTTTCAGGAACCCCCATGGGTACTAAAATCTATAGATACTCAAGTTTATATATAAAGTGGTATAACATTTGCATATAAACTATGTACATCCTCCTGTATCATTTAAATCATCTTCAGATAACATCTAATATCTAACACAATATAAATGCTGAATGAATGGTTGTTATACTTTGTATGGTTTTTTGAATAATGACAAGAAAAATAAAGTCTGTACATGTTCAATACACATGAACCCTCCTCCAATTTTATTAGTGCCTTTCAATTATTCAGAACAATGGGTTTCATTGTGGCATATTTGTACATGTACATGACATGCCTTGATCATATCCACTCCCCATTACCCTCCCTTACCTTCTCCTGCCCCACTTTTGATAGTCTCCTTGCTACTTTCATGTCATCTTTTTTTCCCCTACATTAGGGTTAGGATGTGACATGTCCCCGAAAGCTCATGTGTGAGACAAGGCAAGGTTTAAAGGAGATGATTGGATTATGACAGCTTAATCCAATCGGTGAATTAGGGATTAGCTAGTGGCTAAAGGTGGGTAAGGTGTGGCTGGAGGAGGTGGATCTCTGGGGGCATGGTATAAATTTTATATCTGGTAAGTGGAGTCCCTCAGAGGTCTGATCATCATTTAAGCTGCTTGCCTCCACCACACTCTACTGCCATGATGTTCAGACTCACCTTGAGCCCCAATGAATGGAGCCCAGCTGCCCATAGACCAAGACCTCTGAAATCATGAGCCCCCAAATAAACTTTTCCTCCCCTACCATTGTTCTGGTTGGGTCTTTTAGTCACAGCATCGAAAATGCTTACTAAAACACCCTAGATTCAACATATGAGGGAAAGTTTGCCATATGTGTCTCTCTGTGTCTGGCTTATTTAGCTTAACAGTTCTATCCATTCTCCTACAAATTATATAGTTTCATATTTATGTACTGAGAGTTCTCTATTGTGTATATATCCCACATTTTCTTTATTTATTCATCCACAAGTGGAAACCTAGGTTGATCCCATGACTTGACTATTGTAAATTGTGCCATGATAAATGTGTATGTCTATAGCATGCTGACTTTAATTACTTTAAGTATATATCCAGGAGAGGTATAGCTGGATCATATGGTAGTTCTATTTTTAGTTTTTGAGCATTTTCCATACCAATCTCAATAGTGATTATCCGAATTTACATTCCCACCAACAGTTCCTTTCCCCTCATCCTCATTAGCATTTATTATGTTTTGTATTTTTTTGTTTTCCTCTGTGTGTGTGTGTGCGTGCGCGTGTGTGTGTGTGTGTGTGTTACTGGGAATTGAACACAGGACCTTGTGCATACTAGGTCAGTGCTCTGTCACTGAGCTAAATCCCCAGCCCTTGTTTTTTATATTCTTGATGACAACCATTCTGACTGGCATGAGATGGATTCTCAATGTAGTTTTGACTTCCATTTCCCAATGGTTGATCATTTTTTCATATAATTATTGGCCATTTATATTTCTTTTGAAAAGAATCTATTCAGTTTTAACTGACTAGATTATTTGCCCAATAATTGATTGGGTTATTTGGGGGGTGTTAAGTTTTTTAGTTCTTTATGTATTCTGGATAGTAATCCTCTGTTGAAAGAGTTGCTTACAAAGATTTCCTCCCATTCTATAAGCTGTCTCATCATTCTGTTGTTTCCTTTGCTGTGCAGAAACTTTTTAACTTGATACTATTCCATTTGTCAATTTTTGCTATTCCTGAGATACAAGAATCCTATTCAGGACATTGTTGCCTGTGCTTGTTTCTTGAAGCGTTTCCTCCTGTTTTCTTCCTGCAGTTTCAAAGTTTCAGATCTCATATTAAGGTCTTTGATCCATTTTTACTTGATTTTTGTACAGGATGAGAGAGGGATCTAGATTCAAATTTCTGTACATAAGGAGATCCAATTTTTTCTATACGATTTGTCAAAGAGGTTGTGTTTTCTCCAATGTATGTTTCTGGCAACTTTGTCAAGAATCAATAGGCAGTAGCCACATGGGTTTGTTTCTGTGTCCTCTGTTCTATTCTGTTGGCCTATGTGTTTGCTTTTATGCCAGTACCATGCTGGTTTTGTTATGATGACTCTGTAGTATATTTTGAAATCAGACATTGTGATGCCTCCAGCACTGATCTTTTTTGCTTAGGATTGTCTTGGCTATTTGGAATCATTTTTGCTTTCATATAAATTTTAGAATTTTTTTCTTTTTAAGTTTTGTAAAGGAAGTCACTGGTATGGGGGTATTGCATTGAATCTGTAGATTGCTTTTGGTAATATGGCCATTTTAAAATATTAATTTTGTCCATTTGTGAATATGTTCTTTCTTCTTGTAGCGTCCTCTTCAATTTCTTCAGTGTTCTATAATTTTCATCATAGAGATATTTCACCTCTTTGATTAGGTTTATTCCTAGGTATTTTTAGAACTCTATTGTGAATGAGATTGTTTTCCTGATTTCTTTCAGCATTCCTGGAATATTTTTGGCCTGAGGTTGGTTGAATCCACAGATGGGGAGTCCAGGTGCTATAGTTTGCATCTGAAGGGTCTCCCAAAAGCCCATGTGTTAAAGTCTTGGTCCTAATCTTGGTACTTGTGCAAGGTGGTGGAATCTTTTAGAATTGGAACCTAGCAGGAGGTCTTAGGTCATTAGAATGTGCCTTCAAAGAGAGTTATGGGAACATCCATTTCTTCCTCTCTCTTCCTTCACCATGAAGTGAATAGCCTTTCTCTGCCCTGTGTTCCTGTCATGATGTGCTGCCTCACCACAGGCCCAAAAGCAATGGAGATAACTGACTATGAACTGAAACGTACAAAATTGTGAGCCACAATAAACCTTTTCTCTTTGTAATTTGATTATCTTAGGTATTATGTTATAGTAATAGAAAGCTGACCAACACATAGATATTGAGGATTGACTGTATTTGTGTTTTTCTTGGACCAATGACACTTTATTACTATTATTGTCATACCTTGTGATCTGTTCAAGTGTCTGTAGGGCTAGACCCTCTCTCTAGCCTTCTTTCTCAAAGTGTCTTTACCCATTTTGTCTGTCCTGCTGGATCATCTCTAACACCCAGGCTAAGTACCAACAGTAGAGATTTTGCCCCTTCCCCTCCCTCAGTCTCATTTATCAATGGATAATTGAAGATAAGCTTAATTCCACTTAATTGCTAATCCTTGAGTTTGCCTCTTCATACCCAGAGGAGACATCTGAAAACCAGGCAGCTCCTCCCATATGGGGAGGGAAACAAACAAATTTCCAAAACTCCTGCAGAGCAGCAAGTCCAGCAGAGAGAAATAGTGCTGAAACCCATAACAGAGAATCATCTGTGTTTTTTGTTTGTTTTACAGTCAGAAGGCAGCATGAGGCCCCAAGAGCAAAAGGGATTTGCCCCAGATTACCCACCAGGGGGCTCCAAGCCCCACACCAGGGCCTCTCATGGTACCTCCTTCTGATATATCCCCAGGCCTCCTTTGAGCTGGGTGTCTCCACCTTCCTGCCTTTGTTGGCCCCTGGCAGAAGTCTCCTGGGGTGGGGTCCCCCTTGCTCATCAGAGTGGCGTTGACAGATATACTCCTGTGTTTTAGTCAGCTTTTTTGCTGCTGTGACTAAAGGATCTGACCAGCACAACTGTGGGGGATGAAAAGTTTATTTGAGGGCTCACGGTCTCATAGGTTTTATTCCAGAGAAGGCCAGCTCCATTCCTCAGGGCTTGAGATGAGGCTGAACCTCATGGCCAAAGAGGATAGCAGAGGAAAGCAGCTCACATCATGGTGATCAAGAAGCAGAGGGAGAGTGCTGGGCACGGTGGCCCATGCCTATAATTCCAGCAACTCAGGCTGAGGTAGGAGGATCAAGAGTTCAAAGCCAGCCTCAGCAATTTAGTGAGCCACTTGCAACTCAGTGAGACCCTATCTCTAAATACAATGTAAAAAAGAGCTGGGGATGTGGCTCAGTGGTTAAGCACCCCTGAGTTCAATTCCCAGTACCCACCCAAAAAAAGGAGAAGGAGGGGGAGGAGGAGGGGGAAGGGAAAGGGGAGGAGGAGGGGGAAGGGGAGGGGGAGGGGGAAGGGGAGGGGGAGGGGGAAGGGGGGGGGGAGGGGGAAGGGGAAGGGGGGGTGGAGGGGAAAGGGGAAGGGGAGGGGGAGGGGGAGGGGAGGAGAGGCTCCAGCTCCAGATACAAAATATATACCCCAAAGCCACACCCCCAATTAGCCACTTCCTCCAGCCACACCTGCCTCTAGTTAGCACTCAATTAATCCCATCAGGGATTAGTTCACTGATTGGGTTAAGACTCTCACAATTCAATCATTTCTCCTCAGAATCTTCTTGTATTATCTCACACGTGAGCTTTTGGGGAACACCTCATATCCAAACCATACATCTTATAAGGAAACTCACACTGTTCCACATTAAAAACAAAATGAGCCAGATACAATGG